TAAACTTATCATTTCACTTAAAACATAGCTTGTACAGTAAGTAATGATTTCTTGTTGCCTCCCTTTTGATTGATGGGAGGCACGTTATTGACATCACATTAGAGGTGACATATCTTCTCTTAATTGGTTTTTGGGAAAATATTGACGTCATTAGAGGATATCGACGATCTTGTGGCTTATCTGACTGGATGGGCCTATGGGCCAACCTTAATTCAAGATTTTGGAAATCTCATATTTAAATATTTAATTATTTATAGTCGTTTGGGAAGTTGGTCCGTAGTTATGTTTAAGATCGATCACCAACAATTATCGTCAGCGTAAGTGATAGTGAGTCCCATGAATTAATGTTCAATACATTAAAATGCATCACAATTCAAATCAAGCTTTTTTCATAGAAGTAAAAAGGCATATTCATGAAATTATACTACTTTAAACATATCGAAACATAGTAATTCGAATTCTCTTTCCGACTAAGATACTGTTGACTGGAATTTATAGTGGTAACGTAACAAATTATGAGTTTTCGATGCAGACAGTTTTTTGAATCTTCGAATATTTGGGGTAATTGGTTAAACCACAAGTTAGGCTAAATTTAAGGAGAACGTAGAGATAACTCCAATTTCAATTATAAACTGACAAAACAAGTTATTGTCCAAAGGGTCATCCTTCAATGGAGCGTCATTACAGTGTTAGTGGGGGCGTCTTGACCGGAAAAATCGAGAATAATTCAAAACTTAACCCTAATCCTTTATCTTTATTGAATCGAATACTAAGCTGATTTTCAAAACATTATCTTCTAGTCATCGTTTGAGGAATGCATGTTAGGTATGTAGTAATGATTAAATTGAACCAAATATAATACGTATTGGCATGTGAACTTGGGTTCGATCCACTAACTCCTCTTGACCATTTCTCTCCTCCCTTCTATACATTTATGTTCATTTTGCACAAAGGTATGTTAGAATTTGTTTGAGTCCTTAGCGAGTCTTTTAGAAAGTATGTGGTTAAAAGTAGAAAAAAGTTTTAAGTTTACGTATAAAATTATTTTATTAAGAGAGTATGTAGTTGAAAATAAGTTTGAAAAAAAAAAAGAATTTTTAGAGATAGAGATGACAAAAAAATTCGTTCAACCCGATACCAATATCCCTGCCTCGAATGGGGGCGGGGATTACCTAGCTAACTGAAAACTGAGCGAGGGTCATTGCCCCGAAATGGGGAGGGGAAATATAATCCCTGTCTCCCCCCTTGCCCCTTTTAAAGTTAACTTCAAATTTAAATTTTTTATCAAACAAAAATAAAAAATTTATTATCATTTTTCAAGAGAACATTAGTTGTTCTTAACAACTGAAAATAATAATAATAATAACAACGACATTGACTATCTTTAAAAAAAAAATCAAAAAAAAAAAAGCAAAAATGAAAAAAAAATAAAAATAAACAAGCTCGACAAATGGGGCAGGTCCGCTACCCCACCTTGATCCCATCCCGCTTTAATCAAGTATGGGGATGAAACAAGGTGACAAAAATATGAGACGAGATGGGATGGGAATGATCAACCTGTTCCATATTCGCTTCATAGCCATCCCTTGTACAAACATGATGCTTAATCTAAACCTTAGTCAAATGCTCTCTCACCTGTCTTTCTTGCACTCATTCTATATTGTTCTAACCACAAGCTTTATCGTTGAAGTACAAATGATCTCCATACTTTTTCTTAAACAGCGACTTTTTAATCCTAACTAGGCGTTTCAGCTTGCAGGTGATATTTAGATGGATAAGGTTATATTGATCAAGTACAACCTACAACTTGGAATAATTTATCTGCTACCTCGTGTGAACAAACTTAAAAATATTGTTAGTATCCATGTCAAATGGAAAGAAGTAACAAGGAAGCCACGTCAGCAGGCTGAGGTCCAATATGAAGCCACGTCATTCTACAAGTAGCAAACTTCAAACCACACGAACACTTCTTTCTAACAAGTAATTCCATTCTTTTGACTAGCCAATAAAAAATGTAATAAATATCAGGTTTTTTATTTGTATATATACGAACTGCCATTTGCCCTTCTTGTTAAGCATTTGAAAGTCATATTCTCTCTCTCTTTCTTTCTCTCCCTTCTATCTTCTCTCTCTATCACCTCAGCCATCGCCACCGTGCCGGAAAATGAGTAGTTTGAGCATGATTGAGGCAAAGCTGCCGCCGGGATTTAGGTTTCAGCCAAGAGATGAAGAATTGATATGTGATTACTTGATGACATGGGTAGCCGGCTGTGGCCACCTGAACCACCCTATGTTAATTGAAGTTGACCTCAATAAGTGCGAGCCTTGGGACATTCCAGGTGAGTACTCAAAATTTCTTATAGTATCTGTTTGGCGCTCATTTTTTAAAACTCGTTTTTTCTTTAAATTCATTTTTAATCACGCATTTCATGAAACTCGCAATTTTTGTTAAATTTTCAATAATATATTTCACTAACTTTTATCAAAATCTATTAAAAACTAATTTTTAGTTAAACTAAACACGGACATAATTTACTTCATATTTTTATTTTACTTCTTGCTTTATGTTTTCTAATATGCTTTCGAGATCATTTTAATGTTTATATCTCTTATGGATAAGTAAATTAATATATTTAAATTATAAGTAAAGAATTATGAATTTTGAAGATAAAGATTTTAATTTTTTTCGCATGTGGAAGACTTCTTGGGTCCTTTTGCCAATATGTTTTGTTTTCCACAAGATAGATTCCACCATAGCCATACAAAATGAATATTGTCTTCATATGCTTTGTTAAGTTTATACATTATCAAAAGAGCATGTAAAAAGATTTACATCCGTATATCGTAAATAAACTCTCTATAAACAATTATGCACGTGTTAAACTTTTGATCGAAAATTCAATGACTCGTTTAATAGAGTTTTTGTTTTACGTAAAAGAGAGATCGACTTTATTTAAAAGTTCTTTTAGCTCGGCAAAATACTTTAAAAAATTATTTAAACATGTATAAAAATAACTTTTTAATCTTAAAAGTAATTTTTCACTTTCTAAAATTTCTATCAAACATGTCCTAAATCCCTTACAATTTTATGTATGAAGTGAGTATATTTCAAAATTCATATTCAAATACCTTTTTGTAGAAATTGACACTCTTGGCATTATCCTAACCAAAAGATGTGACAGTGATTTCAAGATAACAAAGAGAATTTCAAGTCATGTCGTCTACACCTTTGCACCTAATCTCAACCACACAAGTGTACACTTTGCAAGTCAATCTAGTGGACGCGAACCTTCCATATTTCTCGTTCTTTCTTTATTACGAATTGAAGATTTAGACCTTACATGATTAATTATTGGAGTTAAGATTACCTGTCAATAAGGGGCTCGCACCCACGTGCTTGTCACCTACAAGTCCTTATCTTGACATGTTACAATTTTCATAAATGAGTAGAAGTAGGAGTGAACTCGTGACACCAACCTAGTTCTATTGAACGGTGTTTATATTACCATCAATATTGATTTAATAGTTTATTAAAACGTTAAGTATAGCGATTTTGATGGCGCAGAATTAGCATGTGTAGGAGGAAAGGAGTGGTATTTTTACAGCCAACGCGATCGTAAATATGCAACAGGACTAAGAACAAATCGAGCAACGCTATCGGGTTACTGGAAGGCCACCGGAAAAGACAGGTCAATTCTTCAGAAGGGAACCCTGGTTGGAATGAGAAAGACATTGGTATTTTACCAAGGCAGGGCTCCTAAAGGAAGAAAAACTGAATGGGTCATGCATGAATTTCGCCTTGAAGGACCCTTTGGCCCTCCTAAATTATCATCTGTCAAGGTAATCAATTTACCCTCTCTATCGTTTAATTTGATTCTTAGTCCGTAATTGGTTGGTGTAGCTGAAATCATATTTTAGTAGATTTTAATAAAAATTAATGAAATATGGAGTTGAAAAGTTAACAAAAGTCTTGAATTCCGTAAAATGTGCTGTTACATTTAATTACAGACTTTAACCTAATCTTTCATCAACCTTTTAAGCTATATTAGACGGGGACTTAATTTACGATTATCTTACTTTTAGTTAATTTAAGCTTGATTAATGACATTAAAGTTGATTAATTATATTCATTGCATCTGCAATTTGTCGAAAAACTTTTGTCTTTTCTGGGATTTTGTCTTCTATTAAACCTTTTGATTATTATAATTACTATTAGTTTTTCCCCCTTAAATAATCTATTTTGTCTTTTCTTCTTCCATGGAGTTTAGCTAGCACTAAATGCTAAAACCAAAGTAGAATCTTCTTACGTCAAGAAAACGACACTTCGTCCCCATTTGATTTAAGATAAAAATTCAAGTTAAATTCAATATTTAATTTTAATTACACATTTCACGAAATATATAATTTTATCAATATTTTAATTACACAATTCATCAACTTTTATCAGAATTTAGTAAAAATCTGATTTTTAGTTAAATTAAACAAGGACCTCACATTTTATTAATAAAAATACTAATATATAATCAATTAAAAAACGTATCCTCGTTGGGAGACGGAAGTATTATGAAAAGTTAAATAGCTACACTTCATGCTGCTTATTCCTCTCTTCGACACTCTCCAGGGTTTTTCACATTGTATATGAATTTTGATCGCATGGAATTATACTTGCATGCAGGAGGATTGGGTTTTATGCAGATTGTTCTACAAAAAAGGAGAAGTTGAAGCCAAACCCGAAACAGGAAGCAGCCACGAAAAGGAAATCACCAATTCTTCTTCTTCTCTTCCTCCATTAATGAAAACCTGTCTCCCCTTTAACCAAAATCAGGCCACAACAGATGAGTATAATCAAGAGCAAGTGCCCTGCTTCTCCATTTTGAACAATAATTTCTTACAAATCACAGAATCATCCGACAAATTCATGCCCACATCTGGATGGTTCCCTCCGGATCATAATCTTGGAACATATTCATCATCATCAAACTCTGATCAGACTGTGATCAAAACTCTATTTTATCATCTTACCAAAATGGACGACAGTAAATGCTCCCCAAGTTTTGGGGAAGGAAGTCCAGACAGTTATCTGTCTGAACTGGGATTGCAGTGGAACCGTTATTGATATGATTTTTAAGGTTTGATTTTTGCCCACATGCTATATAGATACTGGACTAGGCTGTACATATATATTTGATGTTAAGTTATTTTGTATCCTAAGATGTTTTCAGCATTGTGTGCATCGAAGTTGGTTTAATTATTAAACCATACCTTCATAAAAGTTCATATATCAAGATGGTCCTTAAATTTTCTTTTGTTTCAAGCTGATTATTGACCTACGATTTTGTCTCTCTGTTCAATTCTATTTGTTTGATTAAAAGAAAATTTATCGTATCTGGTTATTTGCAAACTAGAGTGCCTCGTATTTTTCTCTGTTAGTTAAGCAAACACTGCTCGTCTTGTACTATTTATAATCGATCATACCCAATTTTTAAAAACTATTTCATGGGACTCGCAAATACCACTCATTTATCCATCACTAATTTAAATTGATTATAATCATCTCCCAAACATGCACCAACAAACATCGAAAGTTTATTACCACCTTTAAAGAAAGCTTAAATTTAATGTCGAGTTTAAAACAGAATTAAGTTGACTTCACATAAAATTTATCCCTATATGGTTTAACTAAAAAAAATTGATGACGTATTACAAGGTGCAACTTGATCACCTTCTTTTCAAGGAGAGCTTCACACAAATTTCACGTGTCACATGCTACTTGAGTCAGAGTGTAAACTAGTAATGCTTTCGACTATTGGACTTTCGTCATCTAGGATGCATCATTTGTGTTACTTCGCCTAGCATCACGACGCTTGTATTGTTCTCCACTCTAATTTGAGCTTTATATTACTTGTGCCAAGTCACATGTCAAGTTCATGGTTGAAGCCGTTGTGAAAAGCAAGCCTTCATAAGACAATTGTCATTGCTTATGGACCCAAATCTTGGTCCATCCATCGGTGACTAATAATTTAAACTCAACAGTTAATTTTAACCACCCAATTTATAAAGCCCACAACTTTTATCAAATTTTCAATTACATTTCATCAACTATTCTCAAAATATACTAATCCAAAGGTCAATACCTGTCTACCTCCGCGCCTCCATGCCAATGTCACAGT